TTATAAAATATTATATATATATTTTTTAATTTTATACCTTTAACTTTCAATTTTCTACTTTTTTCTTTTTTTTCACACACTTTTTTTTTCTCTTTCAATTTTTACATGCTACCAAAATAGGTGGGGTGAAGAAAAGATAACGGGGTGCATGTAAAAATTGAAAAAAAAAAAAAAAAGAAGAAAGATCTGTAAAAAAAAAGTACTAAATTAAATGTTGTGAATGTAAAATAAAATAAAAAAAAACAAAAAATTAAGAATATTTTAAAATTTTAATTATTTTTTTTGAAAAGGAAGTGTACTTATAGGAAAAAGGAAGTGTATATATGATCAACCTTTGAAAAACACTTTCCAGAATAATTTTTTTTATTCCAAATAATATTAAGGATAATTTAGGAATTTAATATTTTTTTTTAAAAAAAAAAAGAGTGTATGTATAAAAAAATGGAGGTGTATATATCATCAACCAAAAAATGAACCTCTCATCTCTTTGTGTACACTGTTGGGTCCGCATTCTGGAAGACTCTTTCTCTCTTTGGGCCTTTTTGAGGCCTGTTTCTTATTGAAATGGAGACAAAAGAAAAAGTTGAGGAAAAGTTTTCAAGATGTTACCATTTTCAATGTATATTAGTTTTTTTTTTAAAATTATTTTCATCATTGTAGAAAAGGTGTGAAAGAAATTTTCCATGCAATATTGTATATTTAATTATTCAAGTATATTTTTTTATAAACTACTTTATTATTTTTTTAATTTTTTCTTTTAAATGTCATGCAATTTTTTTATATAATTAAATAGTATAATTTCCTTCAACTGAATCAATGTATTTTACAAATAAAGTAAAATGATATATCTAATTACATACTACATGCTTAAACCAATATTGAACCTCTGTTAATAAATATATGTAAAATAATTTGTGCTAATAACAAGTCATGCATTATTTTCTTATTCATTCTACCCTTAAAATAATTATTACTTTTTTTTTCTTTTATCTTTCAAATATTTGACCTATTTTTAAAAGACATGTAAATACTGACACATTGTTTTGGATTCAATATTGGATAATTTAGAGTGAAGGTTAATTTATTTCAATATTGGATTCCAATTTTCACAAGTTTAGAGTGAAGGGGGAGAAAAGTTTGTTAAATATTTTGGACGCCAAAGTGTTGTCTCCATAGCTTGGAATTCCCGGCAAGCACAGTTATTGGTGTTGAGAAAGGCCTCAGCTTCGCTCCTTCCGTATCAACTTCAACGATTTCGGTGTAACAATTTCTTTCTCATTCTTACAATTTCGCATTCTTACTACATTTCTCTGAATTCTGAATTCTGAATTCTATCTTCGATGCTTGATTTGCTTGATAGGATGCGGAGATTGTGTTCAAATATAATTTGGCTCTGATTTTAATTTTGCGTTTGTGGGGTTATGGTTCCCCTGGGAACTAGTTTTCTGATGTACTCATTTTGTTCGATGAAATGCCCCACTGAAGTGATGTTTTTGAATGGATGGACCCTTGACTTGGGAAAGCTTAACCCCTTTATAATTCTTATTTTCTTTTTATATTCAAGGTTAAGAATTGTTTTCTATGTCTGCCTGTACTTGGTTGAGCTTACGTGTTTCTTTTGAATTACCTATTTAATCACAACTTGGGTGTTGAAAGTGATACCATCAGTTTAAGTTAGTTTATATTGGAAGCTCCATGCTTTTGCTTGGTTTTGGGCGAGTGATTGAAAGAAATTAGAAATCTGTTCCCAACTAATCCCTAGTAAAAGAGGGCCTTCTTTTCCCCACCTTCTGGTGTTCATGTTATGCTTGATCCATTTTGTTTAGTTTTATTATTTATTATTATTTTGAATGGAAATTTTCATGCAATTGATTCCAAGTGAATTATTTTGTTTTTTAATGAATTAATCAATAGAAAGTTTTGTCTTAGGACTAATCTTTTAGTGAAAAAATCCTATTTGACTATGGCACATTACCACTGGTTAAGAGCATAAAGGTTCCATTCTTGTGTTTGTATGTATGGTTATTTTGATTCTTTTCCTAATTGTACTGTTGAAAAATATTCGTTCATGTATTTTGGTCCTTGATCAATCCTTACAAATAATTTAATTAAAAATAATTATTTTCATCTGTGATCAATTTTGCAGCACCCAAACATACCTAAAACACTTCACAGAAGATTATACTTGTTCTTTTCTTGCAGATAGAACTTAATGTCCTGTTATTGTAGGGACATCAGTCTCGCTAAACATGATATTTTCAAGGCTAAGTAAGAGAACTCATCTCTTGCCATACCTTAGGATTTTGCAAAAGGACACTCTTGAATCCAGGTAATGTGATGTTGCATTCTTTCCTCAGTTTTGTTATTTTTGTCTCTGTAGATTATTGATGATTTCTCCTATGGGGAATACTCTGAAACATATTTGTGATAAAATGAAGGAAATTATACTTTACTACTTAAGTAGACTTCTCAAACCAATTGTTCACTCTACTTTCATGATTTGTTGATTTTTTTTCTAATTATAGAAATACATATATGTGCAGTGATGCCTTTTTGCCTCTCTAAAGTCTGACTTCCAAAAATAAAATGTGAAAGAATTTAGTTTCTACTTTAATATTTGTAGATAATTTTGTTTTTAATTCAGGTGCCTGTCTATCATTCCTGAAGGATCAAGTTGCAAGTTCATTAATCCTAATACCAGCTACCAGCGTAATTCCCCTTATATAGGTTTATCAAAGTTTACGCAAGAATTGGGTACAAAATCATTCCATCAGTGTTGCCGATCTTCAGCTTTTGCTTCACAGTATGTTGGAAAGTCATGTTTCATGACTCGTTTCCGACACTTTTCATCTCAGGCATCCAAGGAAAAGAAATCACGAAAGATGCTTTTATACTTGACGGGCTTGGTTTTTGCTATGGTTGGGTGCACATATGCTGCAGTTCCCCTTTACAGGAGATTTTGCCAAGCAACTGGCTATGGGGGGACTGTTACCCGGCGTGAGGTGTGTTTGAGTTGTTTTTCAATGGTTTTTCATTTCCTTAATAACTGGATTGATAACTTTACTTCTTTTTATCTGTTGACTACAAAGTTTCACACTTTTGCAGACTGTTGAAGAAAAGATTGCTCGACATGATAGCAATAATACAGTTACCAGGAGGTATTAATTTCTCTTATTAGATGTTACCTTTTTACCATCTGTCATGATAGGATTAATTTTTTCAGGTTGATGGTTGTATGGTTATTAGAAATAACTGTTGAATTTGCTAGCAATTTAAAAAAAAAAAAAAAAAGCCATTACCTTGTTCCTAACGTGGTTCAAATTCTTTGAGCTGCTTTGTATCCCTTCATTTATACTGCACATTTGTATAAGATATACTAGTAAGACAAAAAACTAAGCAAAGGAAGATTAACCTAAAAATATATTTGTTCAGCTTTATGCTGTACCTAGATATTACTTCATAAAAGTGCTTATTCTGAACTGTCAACAGTAGTACCTTACTTTTGGTACGTCAAGGAACAATTAAGTAATGATTCAATAAAAGATATGCTTACAAGGTGTTATTTGATAAACCACAATTAGGGTGTGGTATTTCTGAAGCTAGCTTTTTTGCTGATGTAACTTTTAATGTGTTTATGATTTATTTTCAGGGAAATTGTGGTGCAGTTCAATGCTGATATCGCAGATGGGATGCCATGGAAGTTTGTTCCCACTCAGAGAGAGGTTTTTCTTTACTTAACATCCTGCACCTCAAAGCAAAGATCCATCACAAAGAAGATTTATAAACTTACATGTGAAAGTGTTATTTAAGATAACATTTAATTTTATTTCTTGGAGCTGTTAATTTTATTTATACTAGTCCCTGATAATTTAAGAATGGTAACTTAAAGAACTATGAATAGTCGAGTTAAAGTCTAAGCTTTTGTATAAAAAACTTGGTTATCATAGTTTAAATATATGGAGGACAAATGGTATTTTTTAAATCTAAATTTAGTTGTTCACTGGTGGTTTTAGTCTAAGGATAAAAAAACAATAGAATAAGGAAACAACGTAACTCTATTTTTTAATGCAAAGCATATCTTATTTGATTAAATGACTTATATGTAAATATATTGAAATAACTGAATAAAAATAATACTCCATGATTTTATGAGTTTTTAATAATAACTGAAGAATAAAATCTGAAACTAACTGATCCACTAACAACACAATAACATATTTGTATCAACTTACTAATTGACTCATTCAAACTAAAAATCAAAATTACTTTGACAGCATCTAAGGGCACATTCTCAACACTCCTATCTTCATTCTTCAAAATCTAACTTGCTGATTTAGAATGACTTGGTGAAGACATCAACAATCCAATCTTCTGTTCTAGAAGGTTCTTCGCCTGCTGAAATAATATTGTTTCCCTCTCATATGATTGGGCCTTAGAAATTTCAACTTTTAATTTTTTAGTCAACTGTTTAATTTCAAACCTCATTGACAATATTTTTGTATCATAATCCCATATCTTTGATCCAGCAACCTTCAACTCTAAATTAAGAATTTATAAACACCTCTCAATTTTTGCTATTTTCTCCTTTATTTCATCTTCTTTTCTAGCTAAAGTTTCAAAAAATTCTTTTCTTAAAGCATCTTCCCTTAATTGTACCTACTTGTTTGTGCACTCCTGCATAATAGTTGCTTTCTCTAAAGCAGATTCTTATTGTTAGTCATGTGGTTAGTGAACTACTGTCAATAAGTCAATTTTCATTCGATTCCATGACAGAGAAACATGTGGCGACAAACAGGTAATCCTCCTCCTCTTGATTATCAGCCTTTGCCTCTTCACCATGTGGTTGATTCTTGTTTCTACATATAATAGCTTCATGCCCAATTTGATTACACTCACTACGCTTAGCATTGGGTTTTGTCCAGCATCAAAATGGAGGATCACCTTTCTCTCCGCAATGTCAACATGGTGGATATCTTGATCTACCTTCTAAACCTTCCTGATCTTCACTCCATTTCTTTTTTTCTTTTGTTCTTTGATTGATCTGCAATTATGCCTGCAAAGCTCCTTTAATTGTGCTTTCTTGTCTTATGAGTCTTCTTTGCTCTTGAACTTGTAAAACACGTGTTAAGATAATTCTGTTTAGATATACTAGTTTATCTTCTCCTAAGTTCTAGTTTAGTTTCCTTAGTCAGTTTTATCTAAATCCCTAAACTTTAGGGATTGATTATATTTTATGCCTATTTATTTTATTGTACTCATTCAGATTCAATAATAAGAAATTATTCATATTCAAGTTGGTACCAGAGCACTCTGGTCCAGGAACCCTAATCCAGCAGCCAACATCTAGGGTTTCTAGGGTTTTCGAGTTTTGTCCGCGGTTGCCGGAGTTGACACCGCCTGCACACTCAGAGGTCGCCGATCGGCCTCCCCGTCGCGAGTCACCGTCAACCGCCGTCTCACGCGCTCTCACGCGCGGTTATTGTTGAAGAAGCTCGCCGGCGCGTGGGCTTCACGTGCCGCCCTCCCAGCCTCCGTTTGCGACGTGGTTCACTCTATTGGACTCGCCGACCCTCCCTCTTCCCGTTTTGACCCTTTTCAAGTCTGTGACATAGTCACTAATTGGTAACACAAAGTTCTACCATTCAACGTGCCTTGGCCAGTTCGGCTAGATCCTTTCATCAATTGTTTTGATTGGTTGGATCGATAAAATGCAACAATTACCATGGCCAACAACATCATGATCCCCAATGTGAGACATACAACAACAACTCTTGAAAAAATCTCTGAAAAAAAATACAAACTGTTATCTCATTGTATTCAAAGTTAAAAGAACTCAGTTGTATAAAGGCGATCAAAATCAATACAGGTACCACACCTCTTGATTTTGGCACAGAAGGACCACAGATTGATCCAAACCATTTTCCACATAAGAAAGGATTTCCAATGAAGCTGGAAAATGTCACACAGTGTCAATGATACACAGGAGAATAAAGAAAAGGAAACCAGCAAGATTCCGAGCTATACCTATCAGCTGAAAACCGTGAGAAGTTCTTCACAGAAGGAATAACTCCAGAGAGATTATTATAAGACAAATTTCTAAAACACAAACAAGATACAGGCTCATAAAAAGTTTGGTGGAAGCAAGGGAGAGGGGGTACAGATGTAAAAGGAACAAGCTGGCTATCAGTCATACTCACAACGAGGTAAGACTAAAACAATTTGCCAGCTGATTAGGAATCTTCCCACGCAGATCATTGTTGTTCATAATACTATCATAGTTTAAGTTGAAAAATTAATATTATCTCGCAATTGATCAAGACAAAAGATTAAGCACAGAACACTTCAGAGTTATACTTACAGAGAAATAAGGTTCTGCAGCTGTCCAACTTCTGGAGGAATGCTACCAGACAGATTGTTGAATGACAAATCACTAGAGCCAGATTAAAACAATAAGCATCCATATAATCATGAATGTGTAAAACTTACAAGGAAAATAAATTTTACTCTCCCATAAAAGTTTATAGAACTTACAG